ATGTAAACAAAACACACATGAAATGAGGTTAAAAAACGTTCTGATCTTGAAAGCTCTATGATTCCTACCTCTCCCTGAAATCCATAATCATAACTTTAAGCAAGGAATATCAAAGATGCTTTAAAGACATAAACTGCTAACAGGAAAGGCAGATTAATTGAACATGCTCAAATGGACATAAAATTGTTCTAATACACTGGAAAAAAGAAAGGGAAGGAAAATAAAAAGAAGATCATATTATGCAAAAATTACCATATTGGTGATTATATCTGTTCAACAGACTTTTTGAGGAATTTCTTTTATAACATATTTGGTCACTGTGTGTGGCAATTACAAGTCTATTTTTTTACACGTTGCAAAAGTATCACACATGTGGAACATTGCACTCATCATGCTACTTAAAATGAAACCAAGCCTCAGTTTATGCTAAGTAAGATTCCTTACTTGCTACCACGACACTTAGTCACTAAGAGCTGCAATTCAAACTGCAGGGTTGCATTTCAGCTAAAAAAACACAAAACAACCCCCCCAAAAAACCCACAATACACTGCAGATTTCTTTTGGCACCGAGCAAATTAAAATTCTCAGTCAGCATTAGAATACTATTTTTTTCCAAATACATACTAGATAGAATATACAATCACCATGAAATAAAAGTGCTCAGCTGAAGCATTTGTGTGTAGGTGTATATGTACATACCTTAAACATACACACAGACTAAATATGAAGAACACAAGCAATGTATTGCAATAAGCTCTCTTCTTAAAGACAGATTTATGTAACAGTGTAAAACTTGGAAGTTATCTTTACTACTATTAAAAGCTCCCCAGTATCTCTAGATGTCTGCCTTCAATAAATCCTGGAAAGATTCTGCTCACATACTGAGTTTCACAGAATGTGCAGCACGTGTCAACTTCAATAAAATCAGTACAGTTCTTTAATTACCCCATTCACCCAGCAGCTGCTTTAACAAAGTATTTTTCTGAACATGTAAAAATGTAAAATACCAAAAAAATCAGTCATCTATGTGCAATGACTACTCAGCATTTAACAATAATGGATATACTGAAGGAAAAAAAGGTGAGTCATGCCAAGCCCTTAATTCTCAGTGACTGACTGTAAAGCACTTACAGTCAGCATTAAGCTTTTAAAACTCTAACCCTAATTAATCGTAAACAAAGAAATAAAGACCTCACAGTTAGTTTTAAAATCTTAAACACTAGCACATAACTTTAAATAGTTTTTCTGCTTTTTCTGATTCACGCAGCATTCTTCCCAGGTAAAATATGGACTTCTGCATGAACACAGGCTAACATACAAGTTAAAAAATAACAACACCTATTTAAACACAATTATACCTGGCATTTTGGACTTCAGTGGTAATGTATTGCTTGCCATAAAGCAGAAAACATCCCCGTTAGCCAAAACCAAAGGTGCACAAGATTCAGAAATCTATGTGCACACAACCTCTCCCCTTCTCCAAACACTTATGCCCACAAGTCTTTTCATGGTACAGGACAGCAAACACCCTCTTCCCAGGCTGTAGGGAGCTTGGAAGTGTATGACTTGCACACATTTATTTCAACCTTGGTGACAGCAAGCAACGAAAAGCCCATTAAAAAGAAAAAAGTCAGATAACTGGATACAATCAACTTGTAATCATTTTCTTATAACGCGTTAGTGAAAGAGTGCCAGCTAACTAATCTTAGCACAGAACAAACCTAATTTATACACAGCAGGATGTTGTCAGATTATTTTAAAGCTAATAATTATTTCTAGTGGCAAGGCAACATTACATTTTGTAGGAGTATACACTTTGTAGAAGACATTTGCTCTGAAAAAAAGATGTTCATGTCTGATGGGGGGGGGAGGATGGATGAACAATAAAAACCCACCAAAGCCTTTGAAAAAAGCATGGCACTAAGAGTGCCCCAGTCCTTTTTTTGAAGAGAAGCTTAAATAACTTTGAGTAACTTTTCAGTAGAAGCGGCCATACTATGAAGATATTTGCTACACTGAGACTTTTCACTCCTTTCCAAGCCAAAAGGATGTCTAAGATGACCCAGTCTGACCCCAGGTGTTGCAAAAGCCACAGAAGCCTGTGAGGAATTCCTCTACCCCACCCAGCCATTTGTTCAAGCATATACCTCTATAAAAACATTTCATCCTCACCCAAAAGATAGAAAATCTAATATTCCCTTTCTAATAATTTCTAATGATTCATTGCCCTTATTAAAAGTTTGCTCCTTTGTTTGTCATTAACTGATTTTTATCTCTGTATATTGTCAACACATACTGCCTTGAAAATGTTTTGCTATGTCTGGAGCATGCAAATATTCATATAAAACCAGGTGTCCCATTACAGATGTAAAGATTACTTTCAGAAATGCACCTTTCATTCAATCAAGTTAGAACTGAAGTTAAAGGAGTTAGAAAGTAACCATATAGTACCTATTAAGAAGGTAAACTATGTTTTGTCGAACGTATTTGTGGAGAACATATAAAAAATCATGTATTTATCATAATAAACACACAGTTATGCATGGGATTCTTGATAGATTCAGACAGAATGTAGCAATCACCAAAGAGCCAGGAAGTCTATATGAAACCAACCTATTATTTAGAGTATTTATAAGAAGAAAATCTGCCTTCTCTGAAGTTTTGTTTTCTTTTTAGCACTACATAAAAAATATGGCAGTCTTAACTACAGTATTTGATCATTTTAAGTGCTTGGATGTAAAAATTTACTTACTGGGGTAACAACAGTTACAGGAGCAACAGTGTTCTATGTAAGACATGTTATTTTACAGTACTGGTTTACCTATGTGTTACCACTTAAGCAGGCAAAAAGATTACTGGGAATCACAAGCATTTCATTAAACATTTCAACCTTGGTACTATGATAGTCCATATTAAGATAAAAAGAATTATATGAGTTATGGGCTGTCTCAGAAAGATGTGGAGGCTCATTTCCACTTAGTTCATGGTCAGGGGAGACATCTAACAGTCCTTTGGAGGAGATATATTACTTCTGAACCCAGCACTGACACTGAGAGCTCAGCCATGGCTTGACCCTGGGCTGCTGCAACAGGGCACAGCTCTCACACCTGGAGCCACACCCCCCTTCCCCACAGAACTGCAGAGACTGGATCGTGGCAAGCTGAGGATTTTGGAAACTATGTGCCTGGCACTTTGCCTCCTTGAACTATGCACACACCAAGCACCACACTGCACGTATAGGCTAACGAGGTAAGAAAGACTTTGACTGAAGAGTCCAACATTTTCTCAACATGTACATAGTCAATTCAACTCAAAACTTGGCAGAGAAGCAATAGGTTTCCCACTGTCACATCATAACTACATTTTTTTACACAGAATTTTAAAATACTAGTGAATTCTAAGTTTGTGCACATTTCCAAATCTCTCTTTAAGCCTTAGTCCTGGGACCCAACCTGCCTCATCCCTTCACATTACTATTTTTCAGACCCACAGTTCAGGGAACAGCAGATGTGGGCTGTGGCCTGAAGACACTGTGATAAGGCAGTGCTGCCAAAAGGAAAAACCAGCCAGGGGAGGCAGTCCTTTGCCTGCAAAGCAGCATCTGCCCCTTACACATAATTTCCTTTCCAGACATAGTACGTTACTTTCCTCCCTTACATAGGGTACAATATGGCCAGTGCACACTTCCTCATTCTTTACCTTAAGGCCAATTAGAAGACAATAGATGCCATGCCAGCTGAGCTGGATATTCAGTCCTTTCTATGACTGAACTCTGTTCTTTTCATCTGGCACTGCCCCGAGAGGAGATGAAAGCAGCACTGCTGCTCTCAGGTTTCTGAGGATCAGAAAGCCTCTTGTTCCTTGTACCCTCAAGCTGTCTATAGGACAGCACCTACACTCCACAGCCTTCTCACAAGAAGGGTCAGTGTTGAAGGAGCTGTTTAGCGCACTATTGTTTCTCAGTATGACTTTGAGTACTAGAGATTATCTATACCGTTATAATTTTGGCACAGGGAATATCAGGAGCTTGGATGCCTCATCAGACTCCAGCACCTACTGATTCAAACTGGAGAAGCAGCGGCAGCCACTCTTGCTGGAGGTGTTCTCACCTCTTCACTCAAGGCAGCTCATGTCAAAAGCAGTTCTCCTGAGGCATGTGTTGGCTGAGGCAGCCTCTTTGATGAGTAAAGCACGACTGTGTGTTCTCTAGATAATGGAAACATTTGTACCATTCCCGTACCTTGACCAGATATGTTTTCCTGAAATAGGTGTCTGCCATGCACACACACTTATGTCACATCTCTCCCCTCACACTGGCACACGGAAGGAGTAAGTCAAAAAGCACAGGTTTATTTTGTATTATCCAAGATATCCATGAAATGTGAATATTATACATGACATAACTGCACAGCTTTCTAACACGTCCATTTTTTACAACAGCCAAGAGATGCAAACTGCACCTGCTGAAAAGGCTACACCAGGACCAGTCCTCAACAACCCTCTTGTCAACACAACCACCCTTCCCAGACACACCGTCCTCACAGCTGGTCTGTGTATTCCCTGCCCTTTCATCAAAGTGACCCAGGGTGATAGATAACTAATATTTGATGACACGATTAACTTTGGCTGAAATGAGTCTGAGTGTGCTCAGGGAAGCAGTTCAGTTTGCTTCCCTAGCAGGGGCAATAACCTCCCGGAGAGAGCGAGCAAGCAAGCGTGCAAGAAGCCTCCTTCTTTAACCAGCACAGCTGCTGACAAAGGAGGCTGTATCTCTTGCCTTCTCTGAAGTTAATCCCAGCAGTTTAAAGCAGACTTGTGAAAAAAACATGAATCTGAAGTAACTCTAAAATGCTACTCCAAGGACACATTAGTTCCACTTGAGCCAAAGTATATGCCAGACGCAATAGGTCAGGTTCTAGTCGAAGAGATTGCAGAGAAAGTAAGAGCTAATAATTCTTAATTTGGCATAACATGACATTCCCAACAGCTTCTCTCTCTCCTTCCAGTAATTGCATCTTGGCAGTGTACATATTAAAAAAATTATTGCACAAAAGATGTTCTGTTGGGGGGGAATAGGAAAGCACCTTTCTTTGTGTCATTTTGAAAACTGAAGACACTTTTACTGAAAGGCAAAATATGCTGATCAAAACACGACAGGGACAAAACCTCATTCATTCCTTATTTGTTTAAGAATTACCAAAAAGAAACATTTTTGCAGGGGGCTAAGGCAACAGTAATTTAGACAATAATAAATTGAGCATTGTAAGAATAACTATTCCATTGAATAAAAGAACTCTGGCAAGAAACTTTTCACATAGCATTCAACAGACATTCAAATAAATGAATGAAGTATGCAAGTTAAATTACTTCAAAAATAAAGACTTTCCAGAGGTTTACCATAATGACAACATTGTATAGAAAGATACAATAGCTCTTTGTAGCCTAAAAATTGTCAGTTTTATTTTACAAAGACGACTTGCAAAAGCATCTTGTCATGACAATCGAGTTTTGAGGAAAAAACAACCTGTCATTTGATAAATAGATGAAATTAACTGTCATTAAAGCCACTTAAGCACTCCTCCTTCCTGTTATCCTTCTCATCTTGGCAGTAACTGATAAGAAGATTTCAGGGAGGCTCAGTCATTGATGGCAGGATCTAGAAAAGAAACAATTTTGCATACAGTTATCATTCACATTCACAGCTTCTAGTTACTCTGTTTCACTAACCTGCACTTAATTGGCTTCCTTCTGCCACTGGCATGAGCACAATGGACCACATACTTCATACAAATCACCACTCACTGCTGCAATTACACCTTATACCATGAAAATATCGAAGTGGTTGCAATGCTATCATGTTAATAGTGCATACAGAAGTAACATTAACAAAGTCCTGTTACCCACCAACTACGAATTGCTAATACCAGCCATGTGTGTCAGCCAGTAGGGACCAGACATTACTTATTATCATACAGTTCATTACTTATGGGACATAGCTGAACTTGAGACTGGTAGATTTCTCTGTAACTTCTGGAAAATATACTTCTTGTCAACAAAAACACACCACCAAAATAAATGAAGGACCAGATGCAATGGTTACAACAGAATTAGTGAAGAGGAAAACTACAACTGCCTATTTCCCCCAAAAAATCCAAGATTTTGTTTGGCTAAGCAAGCAGCTTCAAGAGGAAAGGAGGACATGGACTGGGCAAAGAAAAAGATCTGAGCCTGGCATATCCAGAATAACTCCCATGCAACCCTGGAAGGCTGTGTGCATGGCAACCCCACTTCCAACATAGAGTAATTAATTGTATTCCCACATTAAAGCTACCATGGCACACCTCCACCTTGGCAGATTTCTGTCTGGCTTTAATCTTCTCCATCTTCCACGTGCCAGGTTCCTCACACCAACTGGCCCTCACTGACAGCTGAGTTTTTAATGCCACACAGTAGCTCGATGCAAACAAGCTTTGCCCTTTTTTCCACCATTCTCTAGACTACACAGCCATTTAGTCATTGCACTGACATAACAACTCCACCTTCTCTACTGTAGTGTAGCTGTACATCCACTGATGTGAGAATGGGAAGTGAGGGTCTTCATCCCTACAGGAGCCTTTCACTGAGCAACTTGCATCATTTTTCATGCTGAGGACAGAGCATATGGTCCTTCGAAGGGACATCAAAATAAATATGACAGGTCACTGCAATCATCATACCGAATGAATTCAAATGATGCCATACCTAAATGAAATGTGCGCACATAATAAAGATTCAAATGACAAAAAAAAAAAAAATCCCCCACCCTTTATCCCTCTTTGAATTATTTATGAATTCTGCAACTCCAGCTGTTGCCACCAGCCCAAGGACATTACTTCATTTTGGGAATGACACTTCACATTAAAAGATAAGTTAACAAAACAAAACAAAAAAGACACTGTGGGCCCTCCTTAAAAGCCACAGCAAAGCGCAATACATCTTTTCCCAGCATTTACAATGGAAAATAATCAACAATCAATTCCATTCATGTTTCTCAACTTGTTTCAATAATTCCAGACACGGATTTCAACACTCATGCATTAAAGTCAGCCATGCCTTTTTAACCATTGCAGTTAGGCAAGACTTTCAAAGCATCTTGGATCCCTCACATATTTTTTTAGGGTTATCTTCATCTTGCAGTTCACCATAAACCACTTGCCAGCATGTCAAAGACTCTGCGATACTATCAGCACTCAAGTTAGTGACAGCTTTTAGTACATAAAATAGTCATCCCAAGAAAACGTGGACATTCTGCATATACACAATATATGCAATACATTTTTTATTATGCAGTAATTTTTTCATAAATGATAACACCTTCAACATGTGCAGTTTAGGGAACAAAGAATTGTTTTCAACTAATCATGACATTTAGATTAGCAAATTCTACATAGTGCTATCTGCCCACTCATGGACTGCTCTGATTTGGGTTCCATCATATATTAGTTCTTAGATTTCAAACAAACAAATTGGCAGGGAGTGTGGGGACGGCTCAGCCAGTAAGCACAATTTCCATCACCTACATTAACATGCACTCCTTCCCTCCCACACTCTTTAAACTATGAACTCATTTTGGTTGGCTGATCTGTAGAGCAAGATAACACAGATGCTGAGTAAACAGGAAAATAATAACTTTTTTTAAAAAATCAACCATTGGTTTTGGTTGCTAACTTATTCATAGTGGAATCTGATTATTAAATAGGTATAGAGATCTGAACTGTTACACAAAACCACCCACACCATTAACATCGCATCACCTTTCCACTACAGGAGCATATTGATGCACTGTGTTCATGTCAGGTCTGAAATTAACTGAAATGGGTCAAAATTTGCAAGTTGCCAAGCCTGGAGGGACATATGACCCGTAAATATTAGCCCTTCATGATTTACCAACAGCCTCTTCTCTGCCACAAAGGAGATTACTGTGTTCTTACCCATGACCTTCATGTCACAGCGTTTTACGCTTTTACTGTTACCTAACTGAACAGCAGTTGGGTTTATGTTCTGCTCCTGGGAGATCCCAAATTCCATAAGAACTTTTAACCAATTAATTATTTGGGAATGTTTTTTGTCTGAGTTTTTATTTTTTTCTCCTCCATAATCACCTGAAAGTGGACTCACAGTTGTCACAATTCTAACACCAAAAGGAGATATGTGAATAAACCTCAGAGCTTCCAAGGTACCAGGAATCTCCAGTATTCCCCACAAAGCTTGCAAGTCATTTGTCAGCTTTCTGCAGCCAAGAATGCACCATTTGCCTCTAGTGCCAAGCACATGGTTCAGACCTGAGCTAGAATGCCAGACATTTAATAAGCAAACTCATCTTTGGGAAAAGCAGCAAAGCAAGAGTTGTTACCTGTCTTGCAAGTGAAACAAGCCAATGGTTTGCAAGCAGAGCCCACTTTAGTTTCGCTGTCAGCAGTACCTCCAGCAGTATCTGCTGTTATTCAGTTTGATACCACTGAGCTCATGCAGTGTTATTCAGGAAAAGGAGATGTTGTTTAAGCAAACGTTTATTTGCCCTTCAGTCTGCATCAAAACTGGCACCCAGCCCTGATCAGTCTCCCTCTTCCTTGCTACTGTGAGAAAGCTACCAAAAAAGAGCACTCCCCTCCCATCTCCTGCTGTTGGCCAAAGAAATAAAACGTACAGACACAAAGAAAACAGGCAGAGAACTCGGGATGTGTAAAATACCACTGAGCAGGAAATTAAGGTTCAACATTGGAACATTTGTAGACCTCTTGTAACATTTAACAAGAGCCCCAAAGTCTCCTGTTGTCAGGGCTATATATTTGAGTCTATTACTGCCTCACCATTAATAATTCTCCAAAATTTTGGAAATCCCAGGTGCTGTGCACAAACCCTCTCAAAAGTACAATTATTTACAGTTGTAACCCACTCAAAAGTACATCACATTTTTTTCTGAAAATTAACAAAGTAAAAACAGGAACATATCTCACATTCCAGGGTTGCCATTTAACTCTCAATGCCACAGGTTCTCAAGTGCCTCCTGAAATACTTTCTAGCTGTGCTAAAGGAATGACATTTGGAAAAAAATCACCTGTGTGCTGATAGGAAAACATCCTTCTGAAGATTTTCACAAGCTAGTTGGATGCAATTGAAGTCAGTCCTCAGAAAATAAGGGAAGTCGTCTTCGTGCCCAAACATGCTCACTAAATGCTTCTGGCTATGACATCGTTTCATAATTGACACATTATATAAAAACACCTCAAGAAGATATCTTTTTGTGTATGTCTGGATTACACAGCTATTTATACCCAGTGCCTCTGCAGAGCCTTCCCATTGTTGCACAATGCTCTTGAATACAAATGACCAATTGATCCTTTCACATGATAGGGTGGTTTGATGGGTTTTTTTTAGTGTTCGATTCTTTCAATGTTAAAAAGAATTGTACCTCAGCATGGCCTTAAATCTAATCCTTACCCTGAACAACTGAAGTACATTCGTATTAATCTATTAGATGCTTTTCCACACCACACCTATGGCACTGCATAAGTTACTGTAATTTAAATGAATCACTGCTTGAAAATTCTCATTTGGTAAGGAAAATACAGTGCTACATGGTACAGAAAGAAAAATGTGCACTATGGTAACTAAGTTTTATAACACAGTATATCTGGGTGCTCATAAACCAGCTACTCTAAACTGTTAAAGGACAAGAATATTAGACCGATCACACAGAACACGCGTCATTATGCCAAGAAGTCAATAACATGAAATCAAATCTACAGTTTATTTAGATATATTTCCATGCCCATATTCAGAATCCACATTAAAAATGCCATTAGGCTGGCTGAAGAATATTACTGCAAAAGACATTTACACCAATAGTAATTCTATCTCTGTCCTGGATAACTTGCATTTTTCTCTTTAAATGTTTGATCTCCTGAAATATATTGAAAACAAAAACTTGGGAAAAAAAAAAAGAAGGGGAAAAAAAACAAACAGAAAATCCCTGAAGTTCTTTTGTTACATTATTCTACATATTACTACTGTTTAAGGATGAGTTGTTTAAGATTGCACATTTCAACTACCTAACAGTAAAGAATGAAAAGCTTCTTGCTACAAGCTAAAAAGAAAGTCTTTACCATGCTCCTTGAAGAGCTCATTTTCACATTACTCAGGCTTCATTATGCTGAATCAATATTCGTTTAGTCACTGGGGTTATTGACATATTTTAAAATAAAAGTATACCCTTCAGCTACTGCACTCATTACGGGTAATTTGTCTTGTCAGGGAGCAGGGAATATTATCCCAGTCTTTCAGGGGCTGACAGCCCATGGAAATACCTCCCCTTGGTTACAACTGTAAATAATTTTAAGGTAAAATATTGAAAAATCAATGACTGTTTCCTGCAATCTGTCACAAACAAATCAATCATAATCTGCACAGCCAGAGAGTATGATTTGAAGGAGATGAGAGCAGATGTAATTCTTGGCTGGAATCTCTCATTTCAAAATCACTTCACATAATGGTGTCATCATTTAAACACTTAGCAGTCACTGCAACTGCCACTCATAACATCTAGTTGGACAAAACCACAAGGAAGAGGAGGAGAAATGCCATTGCTGTTATGTAAACAAACACTTTATTTCAATGGTTGCAACATTAGCAAATTTTACAGATAGAACAGCAAGGCTCCCCTCTCCACAAAAGTCCAAGACACTTTTCTTTCTCAATGGGAGACTCAAATTAGCTTCCCAAAATGCAAACCATTTTAAATTTTAAAACAAAACTTCATAAGGCTTCATAAAAGGTAAGCAATAATATCTAGTACTAATACTACTTCTAAAAATATTTCAGTTTCATTCACTCCAAATCACTCGTAACAGAATTATGCATCAAAGTCTTAGTAGATTAAGAAAGGACAATTATCTGAGGTACCTTTGTCTTTTTAAGAGCAATAAGGATTTCAAGGCTTCTTTGTCCCCTACATATTACATTTCACATCTAATTTTCATTAAGCACACAACGATTCAACTTTAGGGTAGGGAAATGACTGCAGAGTAGAGGGGAAATAAAGTCATAATATACATAAATGAATTGCTAATATATTTTCAACTTGCATTTAAAGATTAAATGTTGTATATGGAATTACATTTTTATAAAAGATCAATTCATACATAAAGAATTAACTACAGCAGTCAGAATGCTATAAATCCGATCTTTGTAAATGTGAATAATTTGTGTAAAACTAATCTTTTTTTATGGAGTAACACTAATGCTTGGACTGAAATTATTTCCTCATTTGTCCCCCACCTCACTACATTTTCACCCTGACACTACAGAGTTTGAGAGAATTCTCTGCAGATCAGACATGACAAAAAAGCAGCACACAGGATGAAACTGCTGTGCAACTGCAACCATGGGCCTAAGCCTGCATTCCTTGCACAAACAAAATTCACAAACGCTCATGGAGTGTTTCACTCTGGAGTCTATAATTTGAGCTCTTAATCTTTAATGTGCAGAGCCCGTTATCACATACTCATTTTAATCACATTAACCTTACCAACTCCTGAATATTTATCTCACAACTGTGAGACTAAGAAAAAAAATGCAATCAAAAAGATGAAACTATTTTCTCTTTTCTTGAAAAAAAATCCCTTAATGCTGTTTTTAAAAATGAAATAATAGGGTATATTGTACATCAAGTAAACCTCTCCAAGGTTTGCCTTCTTTTAAAGCAGGCTTTAAGTCCCTTTATCTTCTACATGGAAAACACACATCTCTAACTATTGATACACATCAAAACCACTATTGTTTGTAACAGCTGGACAGATTCTCTTTCTTAGCAAAATAAACTATTAAAAAAAAACAAAAAAAAACAAGTCAAGTCTTAGACCAGAAGAAACAGTGAGTGCCTTAGAGGGTAACTAAGTGTAAATATCAGCCGTGAAGCGGATCAGCTTATCGTGGGGAAAGGCCGCCCTATCGCGAAAGGAAGCGGGAGGAGGCAGGGGGTGAGTAATTGCTAAAAACAAATGTAGCTCCTAGAAATGAGTTGCAGTACCTCACTTTTTCCCTGGGTGAGATCTATAATGAAGCTATCCGACAGACAGCCTCAGGCTCCTCAGCCCTTTCCAATCTCCTCACCGGCCAGCGACGCTCAGGGAGGGAAGAGCGCGCTCGCTACATTAAGCCATGGTGGGAGGGAGAAGCACTGTGCCACTCTGAACGTGTCGGCATCTTTCCCCACTGCCATTCCCCTGAGCCAGGCTGTTATTTCTTGTGACAATCACCTAATTAGGTGGGTCAAGAATTGCAGAAGATAGAAGAGATTCATCCTTCCTACATGCCAGCTCTCCTATTTGTAAAAATGAAGGCAATGACTCTTCCCCTCCATTGTAAGGCACTTAATAAATGTTAATAATAATTAAGTCAGTCGCATCTCCCAGACAACACTGTCAGATCTTTTCTTGCAATATTTGAGAACTACTGGGCTCAGGAGGGAGCTCCAGACAGAAAAGGACTCACAAATTCCATCCTTCGTTGCAAGAGGTCACAGAGGGCTGTGCCACAACAGACATTTCACAACCACTCCCTGACAAGGGAAGCCCTGAGAAAAAAGAGCAGCACATGCTGTGGCACTACAGATGTTTATGGGTCAGCACTGTAAGTGCTATTTTCTGCTGGACAAAGCATTAAGATGCTGTAACAGCTAAGAGGACTGTGAAGTCTTTCTGGTTAAGAAGTTGAACTAGCTTCAACTTCTTGAATGAAAAAGTGTTTTTCTTCATTCCATCTTTATCAAGAAACAAAAGAATTACAGGCTATGGAAGAGCTGAAAAAAAAAAACATGTTAGCTTAAAAAAAGCTATTAGCATTTCCTCTATTACCCACCTTCTCCATTTACTACTCTCACTCATAATGTTCATTTAAGCCACTGGCATATGTTCATTTATTTAATGTACCTCCACATGATCACCAAACAACGTAGCAATGCAATATTACATCATGCAACATAATTGATATTACACTATTAGCAATACTCTACCTAATGAAGTTTAAAAGTCTTCATGTTTGGGCGTTATGGAAAGAAGAAGAATCCTGTTTTGAAATAGCTCTGCCTTCCAATTCTCTTCATCCCTCCTTCAGCATTGCTGAGACCATCTTATCTCAATGAGCTCACCTGGAGGACAAAAATAGAAAGAAAAGAAGAGCATACTTATTACAATTCTTATCACCTGCACTGCATGATCTTCTCAACAGAAACAGGACTAAAGCTGATGTACGGGGAAACATTAATTTTGGATTTTGTTAGAGACTGAACCTACTACCAAAAGGAATGTGCCACTACTGTAATGACTTGTTTAATGAATCATAATGTACAAAAAGCAGACTACTTACCATTAACTCTGAATAGGACTTAATATGATTAAAAAGAGCTGCAAGCCCAGATGCATTCTGGCTTGTATGAGGCCTCTTCCCGTACTCAGGCAGGTATGGGATAGGATGGACTGCTGGGTTCATTTTCCCCACTGTGAACCTCACTGCTTCTGCTCTTGGGTGCATTCTATAAAGACAAAAAGGCAGACATGTTCAGAGCCTCACCACAAAGCAGTGTCTATGGAAATCAAAGATCTGTGGATTACAAAATTTAATGGCATTTAGATAATGAATCAGTAACAGCATTAATAACTTGCTCTTGCTCAAAAGCACAACAGTCTAACAATTACATGAGCACGGACACCAATTTAAATCTGAACATGTGTGGGACAAGCAGAGAGTTCCAGCTAGGTAAACTGAGGCTGAAGTTACATGAACAAATCTAGGTCATGGGATGTGCCAGAAACGGAAGAAGAAAAGGTCTAGTCCCTTGCCTTCTACCAAGTGTTCCCATCCCTTTCTCAGCCAGTATAAAAGTCTCTCAGCCCTTCTGCTGTCTCCTCTCAAAGATCTATCCAGGTGACCTCAGCTTCAGTTTCACTCAGGGGCACAGTAGCACAGTTTATACTACAGAGAATATCAGCTGAATTCTAACTGAAGCAATAAATTAAATACTGAAATAAACTTAAGAAAAAGCACAAAGAAAAAAATACCTTTAAAATAACCTTTGAAACCCAGGCTCTACAGAGCTGTCCCTCTTCTCAAGAGACATTCATGAAACCTAATGTCTACAGAAGCTGGGATACAGTACGGTCCTTCCTAGACAACAGCCAGCAAGCCAGCACAAACAAAGTAATTCTTGCACTGCCAATATCATAAAGAAGTTGTAGGCACCTTTTTATAATGACAGAGTATTCTTAATAAAAGCTTCAAGTAGGTTTTACAGCTGCATATTATCCAATGAAACCAGTAATAAACTGTGCTGTAGAATTATTTAGTGCAACTCCAATACACCAAGAGCCTCAGCCTCGGTTTTATTTATCACACAGGCTAAAATGTTAGTTCTTGGCTTTACAGTAGCAGCCAAGCCTGTAGCTATCTTTTATTCCAGCACACTGCCATCTGGATATTGATAGTTTGCTATGGGATATGAAAGAAGAGCACAGTTACCTAATACAGCTTAATTGAAAACAGAGGACCTACATATTATACCATGCATTATTCTATATAAAATTAAATCTGAAGGGCATGAAAATTTTTGTAGGTGTCAGCAGAGATTATTTCAGAGGTAAATGCTATGTGCTTGATCTGTGCTCAAAATGCTAAGAAATATTGCAAAAAATATGTGCTTATGAAAAGAAGGAGCTAGGTTTTGCTCCGTTGTGAAAAAAGAAGTTGCTCAGGAAGATGCATCTCCTTCAGGAAGATTAAAAGAGTGACCAGTCCCAAGTTTATTAGTACAGTAAACTCTGTTATAATAATCCATATTCACCTTGAAAGGTCCAACTGCTTTGCTTTTTTCCCCTCAAACAATGATTTATGTATTAAAAAACCCACATTATTCTGGCTCTACAAATACACACGTTAATCTGAAAAAAAACCAGTTTCAAGAATCATTCACATTTGCATTATCCACATTAAGGGACAGAAACTAAAAAGCTCTAATATTAATAAAACCCAGAAATTATTAACTGCTAAAAAGAACTATTTGGGTGTAGGGCTAGAAAGTCTACCTGGCTCTATGTTTCTCCTCAGAGAGGTACCGCTGAGCTCTTGCAAACACCGGCCATAAGGACTGCAAATACATGTAAGTAAAGCAGATAAAGCACAAAACCTTTGGAACACAACACTGCTATTAAAAGTCACCCACCTCTAACACCCACACGGGAGGCCAGATTCCAGCTCCAGGAGCTCCCACCATGCTGCAGCACCTGCATTCAAAAGGGAATTTGCCACCATATGGGAAACTATGGGCACACATATGTCCCATAAAATGGCACAGGGAGCCACAGCCATCCTTCCCACTGAGTTGCTCTTCGTTTGTTATAAGGACCAACTAAGAGTAGACTCAGTTTGCTTTAAGTGAAAAACTTGTCCCAGACATGAAAGAGAACAGTTTTTCATTTTTCACCGAGAGTCTATTTTCTGCATATGTCCATGGAACTGTAAGTAAAATAAACTCTAAAGACATTCCTAACTTAGTCCATATTATGCCAACAAATTCAAGCAAATAATGCCATTTAAGTTAATTACAGGAAACTTCAAGGAAACTGAAATACAATTTCAGGTTTTCCCACAATACTGTCAAGATCTTTGGAGTTACATGTTCAATACAATAACTAGGTGCTTAAAAGGCTTGCCAGCTGCACTTCTGTGTTTTATTCCACTCACTAAAAGGGTTTGCTGAAGCAATTTAAAAAAAAAACCTGAGACTGATAATTGGGTTCCTTCTAGCAGACAAAAAATTACTTTACATAGCAAGGCTTGAAAGAAAAACAAAACTTTATCTAAGGTAACTAATACCCAATTGCTAGACACAGAAGAGTTATTCCAGGTGTTCACAAGTTTATATCTCAGACCACAAACACAGAGTGTGAACAAGGAGCATCTTGGGCAAAGTGCAGGCAAAAGGAACAGCAGAGCAGTGGAGGGTGTCTTGCAGAGAGAGCTCTTCCCAAGACTGTTCACCTAGGCTAAGAGCCACAAAACACCAGCATTTCCACTGCTCTCACTGACCCTGTAACTCCCAGCACTTCATCCTAGGGAAGCCAGCAGCAGTATCTGCAGGAAGGTGTCCCTAAGTTTTACAGCCAATATTTTACATGCATTTTTTTAGCTCTAGCTCAGTTAATAATGTACTGATTTAACATAGAAAGACACAAGCCCCTCCCTCCTCTTTGCATGCTAATTAGTTTTACTTTCATGGTAGTGCAAAGATGAGAAAAGAAAATTTTTTTCTCTTCATGCTTAATTAAAAAAAATGAATATTCACGTGTATTTATTTCTCTCTGTTATGAGTTAACACTTTTAAATATAGTGTATAAAACATCTCTTATCAGATGCTTCCAGCAGCAATTTCCATCTGAGTCTCAGGGGTTTCTTTTTATAGGCCAGCCTTATACAAAACACAATATATGGGAGGGGGATTACTTTTTTAAATTTTTTTAAGAGGATTCCCTTACAGATCTCTTGGTAATATATTCACAAATCGAATTGGAGAAACAAATTATTCAGTAAGTGTCTAAGGTCAGGTACTCTGATAAAGAAATATCAAAAAGGTTTTGAGAAAACAACCTCCTTCTCATCTACGCTTGTAAAAAGAAAAAAAAAAAAGTTGAAATGATCTCCTAATGCATCTCCCTTCATAATTCATGCCGAAAGATGACATTTTCTCAGGATCTTAATTAAGATAATGATGAACACCTGTGTCGGCATTCTTTGGCAAGACAGCATTATCCATCATAATCTTTTAAGTACTCTCAAAAAAACCAACAAAATCGTATGACGGAACCAATCTGTTGCCTCTCCTTGCACTGAGTTTTACATCTCAGACACACACAAGAACGATTAGATCTTTAAAGACTGCAATAAAAGCGGGATCGTTAGATTTTAAAGTTTCAACAGAAAGTAGCTACTAAAGTAATTAAATTAAGGTGCATCATATCCAAGATATCCAAGTTTAACTCCATTCACTACAAGCCACCTGGAACCAAACCACTCACAGTTAGAGTCTACCAATGGCTGTACTTTTAAAATACAGTTTGCTGTTATTTTAAAGACCCGTCTGCTTCTTTTTCTGCTCCCAGAAAGAAAATATTCACAGCTGATCCCTATTATATACTCATGCACTAATTTATTAAGCTATTTTATGCTGTGCCACATGTTTGTATACCCTAAATGAAATTATGCAAAAGAAACCAGTGTAGAAAAACAAATATGCAAATTCAAATGTTACTACATTTTGGGTCATATTTTGTGCAGGTATCTCAAATCCAAGTTGCCCTCTTGTCAAAAACCCTACTGGAGTCTGACTAGTAAACTAACCAAAGATCCTTTCAAACAGCCTTGCAGGACTAGCCCAACAGACTGAAGATTATAAAAATAGTGGTTTTAATTATTTATTTATATAAGCAGAATTTAAATTCACATGCCTTTATTTAAATAAAGTTAAGAATGCACTTCCCATCGTTAAGCAAGATTTTAAGGGTAAACATTTCTTCTATTGAATTAATAATTTAAAAAATTTAAAATTATGAGAAAAATATATAAAGTACAGAAATTTAATATCAATTTGCACTGATATAGTTTCACTGGCAGCTACACAGTACTCAGTTTCCTGATACCAAGAACTCATCTATACCTTCGAATGTACCTACCTTCAGTAAAAATGAAGAGAAGCAACAAATGCATCCTCAAGCCCCACATTTGTTAACAGAACTGACAGAACAATATAAACAACGGTCTTGAAACAAACTTATTTCCCTTCAACCACATAGCTCAAAAGTCCTGTAAAGCAGATTAGTCTTAGGCTTTCACATTTTAATATGCCTATCAGAGGAAAAAGTTGCTGTGACTAGTCATTCAGTAGAGCTATCAATGTGCAAATAAAGCAGAAAATAGAGACATCCTTAAGAAATGAGTCTCAAATTTGATATAAAGTGAAGGTGACAACCACAGCAATAGAACTATAAACTAAGTGTTTCAATATCTTGAATAATTATCTACAGTTCTTTTAAAACTGCAAAGAATATAATAGTGGCATAATGTAGCGAGAATGTCAGTTTGATAGACATTTACAATCCTGGCGGCATAAGAGTCCTATCACTACCGTTTATTAATCAGCCCTGGTATTATGTTGCAATGCATGAAACTATGCATGAACTCACCACAGTTTCCAAAATGTGCGCCTACAGAAGAAAGATTAGTGGAACATCAGAAATAAAGAGGGTAATTTTACATGACGTTTACCTTACCTCCTTCCTCAAACAAGTCAGATGCCATGGGAAGATGGTTAAAACTTCTGCTTCTCCCTACAAAGAAAGGAACACGGAAAAGCAGTTAGTTATTCTACTCACATATAAAATGAATGTTAAATGTATAAAACTTGACCAGATGATATCTCACTCCCCGAGCAAGAGGGATTGTCAGAGGATTATGACAGAAGCGCTTTTGAGTGGGAAAAGAAATGCGGCGCTCCAGAGCATTCGCAAAATGAACCCGGGGACAAACACCGGTGACATCGTGCAGCTGAAAACTGATGAAAGTGCACACCTGTGTGGATCGAGCATGTAAAGGGAGCGTGCGAGCCGGGGACCCGTCCCGCTTACGGGGGCAGAACCGCATGGATTTTAAAAGAGACGAAACTCCGTACACTGTACGTTAAAAAAAATAAATTAAAACAAACCAAACAAACAAACCCCCAAAAATAAACGGGAGGGAGGGCGCAAGAAGAGAGAGCAGACAGAGCGCGGCTCGTCAGCATCGCCGAGAAGGGTGCCGGCACCCACCTCTGCTTCCGAACGCCTCTCCCGCGACTGGAGCGGGGTCGGTGTCCCGGTGTCCCGGTGTCCCGTGTCCCAGTGTCCCGGTGTCCTGGTGTCCCGGTGTCCGGTGTCCCGTGTCCCGGTGTCCCGGTGTCCCGGTGTCCCGTGTCCCCCTGTCCCGCTGTCTCGGGGACCCGGTCCCGCCCGTCAGGGGGCGCCCCAGCGCGCAGGGCAGCGCCGCCGCCGCGCCCCGCGGTCAGACCCGCGGCCCCGCTCCCTCACCTCGGGCCGGGCCGGGCCGGGCTGAGCCGAGCTAGGCTGAGCTGAGCCGAGCTGAGCCGAGCTAGGCTGAGCTGAGCCGAGCCCAGCCGGGCTGGCGCAGGTCGGGAGCGGCCCGCAGCGCCTCCGCGCGCCGTCCTGTCAGCACCGCCTCCGGACTCCCCGGCAAGCGCGCCCCGCGCCGCCACCGCCCCTCCACACCCCGCGCTGAGGGACAGCTCGGCCGGCCCGTGCGAGGAGGGGAGCGCCCGCCGCCGGCGGGGGCACAGCCACTCATGCGCCGGGACGGCCGGGGGCGGGACTGGCGGGGCCGCGGACTGATGGGTACTGTAGTGCACTGTAGTGTGGTGTAGTCAACGTAGGGCACTGTAGTGTGGTGTAGTCTACGTAGGGCACTGTAGTGTGGTGTAGTCAACGTAGGGCACTGTAGTGTGGTGTAGTGCGGGAGGCGCCTCTTCACCAGCCCTGCTCCTGCCGCGTCTCCCCGAAGCCAGCGGACAGAGCGCGCCTTGCCTGGCCGGCCCTTCCCTTCCAGCCCCGGCCCTGCAGCGGGGCTGCCCGGCAGGTCTCAGCCTGTGCCCAGCTGGAGGGCTGTGGATTCTGCCGCCGGGACGGAGCCCTGGAGAGAAGGAGGGAGGGAGGGAGGGAGCGGGGCGGTGTCGGTGTCGCCTCCACGGCGACACAGGGAACTCCTGCCCCGGCCTGCCCGTTTTAAAACACACCCCCGCCCCTTGCTGTCTCCGCGTCCGTCCCGCTGGGGACAGAGGCGAGAGCATTAGGGTCGGGGAAATGCGAAAGTTACAAAATAAAATAGATTTTAAAAAAAATAAATGTAATCGTATCGTCCCCCCTCCCTCGACCGAGAAAGGCACGGGGGGTGCGAGGCGGGTCCGGCCCCGCCGGCTCCCGGTGACCGGGGGTCCGAGGCGGCGGGAGCGACGCCTTCGCTTCAGCCGCGAGGAGAGAAAAAAGCGAGAAGGAAATAAATCGGGATATGTTTCTCTTGGAAAATATATCTGGTGGAATCATAGGAGATTACATCTCCTGATCGGCGGGGATTTATCCCGGTTCATATGGTTTTAATCTGCTTTCCCCTCGACCCTTCTGTAAGCCGGGGAGGGGGAGGATACCCTGAGATCCGCGGGCAAACCCTCACTCTGAGCGGTGCCTGCGGACCCATCTCCGCCCCCGCCGCTCCCCTCCGGATCTCCCCTCTCCCGCGACCGGCGCTGGGAAAGACTAAATCCTAGCCCTCCGCGAAGCCGAGCCCCGCTCCTGGCCGGACACCCCGCCGCCGCTCCGCCCGCACAGCCACCCGCAACAGGTCCGGCGGCGGGACGGCCCCTGCCCGCGGGGGCGACCGGCCACGCAGCCCAGCGCTGCCAGACTGGACTGGGCTGCGGCGCTTCCCCGACGAAAATCTCCTTTTTTGTTTAAAAAAGAAAAACTAACAGCACCACCACCCCCCGTATATCCCACCTCCAGTGATTTAGTGGAGGGAGGGGCAGGGGCAGAGAGCACGAGGAGGGGTGGCTGTGCAGTGGGGGAGCCGCGCGGCTAATAAATCTTATTAAAGATCTATTTTTTTTCATATACTGATTGGCTTGCATTCCGGCGCACCGCGGCTCCGCACGGTATTTAGCACATGCAGAAAGTTGGAGCTGATTTTAAATGGCTCGGAGGTGACTGCAATCCAGGAGCCGGCGCACTTGAGCCTCTGAGCGCTGGGGAGGGCCAGGGAAGCGCGGAGCCCTCCCGCTGGTTGGGCCCGGCCGCGGCAGCCCAGCAGGGTCCTGCCAGTCCTTCCACTGACAACACCCCGCGAAGGAGGAGCCTCGCCGGGCCGCGCAGAAGGCGTCAGGAGCTGCAATTTCCAACTTAGCATCTTGGCAGGACCCTTCGGAAAGCGAGAGCGAGGAGGAAGGAGAAAAAAAAAAGCCCCCCAGTGCAAGGGGGAGAGAGAGAGAGATAGGAGAGAGTGGGGGGGGTGAAAAAGAGGGGAAAGCAAGGGGGGGAGAAAAAGGAGGAAGCGGTGCCCGGCTGCAGGCGAAATCGGAGCAGCAGCCCCGGCGCAGAGCAAGGTGCCGCCGCTGCCCAGCTGGCGAGGGCGGAGAGGCGCCCGCGAAGCCCCGGCCGCAGCCGCCCCAGCCCGGCAGCGCGGCCGCTCCCTCCCGGCGCCTTGGGCTCCCGGGTATATGTGTGCGCCTGGCCATGTCGTATCCTCAGGGTTACTTGTACCAGCCGTCAGCGTCCTTGGCTCTCTACTCCTGCCCGGCGTACAGCACCAGCGTGATCTCCGGACCCAGGACCGATGAACTTGGGAGATCTTCTTCGGGCTCCGCTTTTTCCCCTTATGCCGGATCTACCGCCTTTACCGCCCCTTCCCCAGGTTACAACTCCCATCTCCAGTACGGCACCGACCCGGCAGCCGCCGCCGCCGCCGCCTTCACTTCCTACGTGGTAAGAGCAGCCGCGGGCAGGCGGCACCGCGCCGGGCACGACGGCATCCCGCGGGCGCCTGCCCCCCCTCCCGGGCCTGCTTTTTGTTCCCATTTTATTTTTGAGATCTCGGGGACAAAAGGGAGCTCGGCTCCCCGCATCGCCGCCCAACTTTCCCGCATCGCCGCCGTGCGCTGCCGCACACTGTTGCTGGCGGCAGCGGCGGACAGGGCCGGGCGCGGGGGGAGCCACCAGCACGGCCAGGGAGAGCGGGACCGGGGCAGGCAGGGACCGGTTTCATTCCCCATAAAAAAAAAATAATTTTTTAAAAATATATGTATATAAAACAGCAGTCGTAATTCCTCAACAATTAGCTTATTGTGATTGAAAAGGGAATAAACCCAGCACCGGTCGGCGATGGGAGAAATCCAGGCGATAAACCCAGGCAACTTTCCCCTGCACGGCGATAATTAGGCTGCTTAAATATTGCAGAGCTCTAATCCCATGGCCGCGAGCTGCTCCGCGGGGCTGTGCGGGAAGTGAAGGGGATGGCAGGGCACTGCGCCGCCGTGCGCGCCCGCGGGGCACCGCGGCGCCGGCCCGGGTGCAGGACATCCCCGCCGCAGAGCTGCGGCCGCCGCCAGCGCCCCGCAGCTCCCCCAAAAACCCGGCGAGTTTTGCTCAGCTTCTGCCCTCTGTTTAGGGTCTGGGCAGAGTCTCACAGTTCCTTCTTTCTTTTTTTTCTGTGTTCTTTTTTTTTCTCTTTCTTTTCTCTGAGCTTTCTCTTTTCCCTCCTCTTCGCCCTTTTTTTGTTTATCTTTTATCTTCTTTTCTTCTCTTTTCTCTTCTCTTCTCTTCTTCTCTTTATTTTTTCCTCCTCCTGCTCCAGGCCAGGCAGAGGAGCGGCCCAGTCCGCCCGGCCGCCTGGGCCCGGCAGGTTGCCTACGGCGATCGCAGCGCGGGGGGAAGGCTCCGGTCCCCCTGCCGCTGTCCGCCCCCACGCCGCGATGCCCACTTGCTTTTCCGCTCCTGCATTTGGGGGAGAGGCGCTGGATTGCTGCAGGCAGCCGGTGGCCTCATGGGGCCGGAGACTCCCGGGCCCCCAGGAGTTCCCAGGCCCTTCCGCCCGTCCTCCCGGGAAAGAGCCGGGGGAGAAGCCAGGCAGGGCCCGGCGCCGGGGGAGAGGCTGCAGGGCGCGGGCAGGGGCCGCAGGCAGGCCCTGGCGCTGCCCTTGCCGTGTCATTGCCGCCCCGCGGCCGCCTGACCTCGCCTCGTTGGGCCGCTCTCCCCTCTCTCCCCAGGGTTCGCCCTACGACCACACGCCGGGCATGGCCGGTTCCCTGGGGTACCACCCGTACGCGGCGCCGCTCGGCTCCTACCCCTACGGGGACCCCGCATACCGTAAGAACGCGACGCGGGACGCCACGGCCACCCTCAAGGCCTGGCTCAACGAGCACCGGAAAAACCCTTACCCCACCAAGGGCGAGAAGATCATGCTGGCCATCATCACCAAAATGACCCTCACCCAGGTGTCCACCTGGTTCGCCAACGCGCGGCGGCGGCTCAAGAAGGAGAACAAAATGACCTGGACCCCGCGAAACCGCAGTGAGGACGAGGAGGAAGAGGAGAACATAGACCTGGAGAAAAACGACGAGGACGAGCCCCAGAAACTGGAGGAGAAGGGGGACCCCGGGACGCCAGACACAGGTAGAACGGCGGGCTCGGCCGGGTCACCGCGCCCCTGCCCTCGGGGCTGCCTCCGGCCCGGTGCGGGGCGGCGGTGGCGGGGCTGCCTGTCCTCTCGAGCGGGCAGCCGTGGCGGGGGGAGCCGGCGGGCAGCGGTGCGGGCCTGGAGACGGCGGGGACCGAGGAGTGGGCGGCGAAGTGGGTGGGCGGGTTTGGGGGGCGCAGGGTGAGCCCGAGAGCTGCCCCCCACCCCTCTCCTTTCCACCCCCAGGAGCGACGGATCCCAAGGCAGCGCCGGGCTGCGAGCGCCTCCAGGAGTCCCCCGGCCCCCGGGAGACCGAGAGCGGCCTCAGCGACTCGGATTGCAAAGAGACGGCGGAGGAGCGGCTCGACGGGCCGCCCGTCCCCCCCAAGGCGCCCGGCGCTTCCCCGCTGGGACCGTGCCCGGCGGGCCGCGGGCCGCCTCCGGCGGGCGGCGAGGAGCCCCCACCCTACCGCCCGCCCTCCGCCGCGGCGGGGCCGCCGCACGCCGCCGACCTGCACCCGCTGCTGCCCGCCGCCACCGGCGCCTCCGTCATCCACTCGCCGCAGCAGGCGGCCCTCGCCAAGCCCAAGCTCTGGTCGCTGGCCGAGATCGCCACCTCGGCGGACAAGGCGAAGGAGGCCGGCGGCGAGGCGGCGCCCCCCGGCACCGCCGTGCTGGGCGGCGGCGGCCCGTCGCGTTCGCCGCC